TCCTGCTGCTCAACACAACTCATTTCTCAAGTTATTTTAACTCTGATTTAGTTTCTAATTCTCCAAAATGAGTAATAATGATGAGCATTGTAGTGCTATTTTTTATTTTAAAAAACAAATTATTATTATTAATTTATGCTATTTTGTTTTTTAATTTTGGCGTGCTATTTTTGGACTTTAAATAACCATAAAAGCTACTATTTCACCAACTTTAGCAACATTTACAAAAAAAAAAAAATTAAATCATTCAGAAAATTATAATTTCGAGTCTGTGCTCTCTTATTAATCAGCATCATCTCTCTCTCTCTCTCTATCTCTCTCTATCTCTCTCCGACATTTTCGTTCTGCAAGAAGAGAAGATGCAGAATCCGGTGGTTGGGTCTCTCCTCTTCTTCATCGTGACATGTCTCGTCTTCACATCTGTTTCAGGATCAGATATAAACATCAACGGACCTGACCTCATCGTCCACAGCACGAACATCTCCGATTGCGTCATCGGAGAAATCTCCGGCGCCGTCGCCGAGATTCTCAACTTCGTCGACGAGAGGCTCGCCGTTATATATCCAGCCATCCAAAAGTTCAAATCTCTGATCTCTTCTGATCCATTCAACGTGACTGGGACATGGGTCGGTTCAGACATATGCAGTTACCGAGGTTTCTTCTGTGACAACCCTCCCGACAACGGATCCGCCATAGCCGTAGCTTCCATCGATTTCAATGGTTTCCAGCTCTCAGCTCCTTCCATCGATGGGTTTCTTGATCAGCTTCCGGATTTAGCTATTTTCCACGCCAACACCAACAACTTCGGAGGCGTTGTACCTCCCAAGATCGCGGAACTCAAGTACCTCTACGAGTTCGACATCAGCAACAACAGATTCTCCGGTCCGTTCCCGACGGCGGTTCTCGGTATGCCCGGTTTAACGTTCTTAGACATCCGGTTTAACCGGTTTACCGGTTCAGTCCCTCCCCAGATCTTCACTCAAAACCTAGACGTTCTCTTCATCAACGACAACGAGTTCACCGCCAACTTGCCGGAAACACTGGGAGAAACTCACATTCAGTTCTTGACATTAGCCAACAACAAATTCAATGGTCCAATCCCGAGAGGAATCCTCAGAGCCATGTCGACAGTAACCGAAGTTCTGTTCTTGAACAACGAGTTAACCGGCTGTCTGCCCTACGAGCTAGGGTTCTTGAAAGAGGCGAGAGTCCTGGACGTCGGCCAGAACAGATTAACGGGTCGTTTGCCAATGTCTCTGACGTGTCTGGAGAAAGCCGAGCAGCTGAATTTCGCGGGGAATTTCTTGTTCGGAGCCGTGCCCGAGACAGTGTGCATGCTACAGAATCTGGCGAATTTCTCCTTGTCTGATAATTACTTCACGCACGTTGGACCGTTTTGCCGGATCTTGATCGAGAGAGGCGTTCTTGATGTGAGGAACAACTGTATTCCCTTTCTCCCGAACCAGAGACCGTTCAAGGAATGTCTAGGCTTCCTTGCAAGACCAAAGTATTGTTCTCACATGTGGTTTCACAGTTTTATTCCTTGTAAATTCTCTCGCTCGGTTTCTTCTTCTTCTTCTCCCCACTCTTCTTCTCACGTTTTGGCGCCAAAAATGTCTCCTTCGCCTTAATTCAGTGCATTTGATCAAACATTTCGTTAGTGGAAAACTTGTTGGCATGTGTTTTTTGGCTCGATATGCATATTCTAGAGGGTTCTTTTAAATGTTGTGACAAAATATTACGAGGGCCATCGAATAAAATGATGTTTTATTACGTAATGTCTACGTCATGTGCACGAGTGAAGCAAATTCTGAGGCTTTGGTATACGATTGAATGTAACCCACTGATGAGTTATGTCGTGTCATACATGATGACTTCATGACATAATCCTGCCAAAAATACATATTCGTATATGTTTAAGTGCACATAAATCTCCTCTTATTCAACCAGGTTCGCATCGCAATAGGACCTACCATTTCGGGTTTGGGTTTGAATTGGGTTATAGAAAAATTATACTATTCGATTTTTATATCAATTTCGATTTGATTCGGATCAATTCACTTTGGTTTGGATTAAATTTTTTATTGGTAAAAAAAAATAAAGAACATTTTGGTTTTTTAGTTGTTTTTTATTGGGTTCAATTCGATTCGGATTCGATTTTTTCAGATTTAGAGAAATTAGAATCATTCGGTTTTTATATTGGATTCGGTTCAATTACGGTTATATCTTATTCGATTCCATTCGGCGATTAATAACTAAATCCCTACATCGTATGCAGTGGCAGATCCAGAAAAATATTTTATTGGGGGCAATATTAATATATATATATATATAATAAAATGTATACTAACAAAAATATTTATGTTTTATAATTTAATTCTACAATTTTTTTTTATTTTCTAAAATTTTTACATAATAATTTTATTAGGAATCGTTTAGAATATATCTTTTTTTTATGACACGAATTAGATAATCCATTCAAAAATTGTACTTTATCTTGTTTATCTAATTAGGATGATATTTTAATTTTTTTTATTAACATGATTCAAAGCCAAATCATCTAAGTCAATTTGTTTACATGAGAATTGAATAAGCTCTCGGTTGAAATTTTACCACTATCTTTGAATTTCAATGGAATTTTTTAGAAAAATTTATCCACTAAATTAGCTACTATATTAAATACACACATATATATATATATATATATATATATATATATATTTATAAGTATGCTAAATATATAGAAACGAATAATAAATAAAAAATGGTTTCAAACAAAAATTATAACATTTTATATATATTTGATTTTGTTGTTATTATTTTTTATATTAAGTTATGATTAAATTGATGATAATTTTTTATTACGATTAAATTGATTATTATTTTTAGATGTAAGAAGAGAAAAAAATATAGGAAAAATGAAATTTTTAAAAAAATGGAAAAACTTGATATGTTTATTTGATTTCCTATTAAAAAATGAGGGAGGGACACTTATAATATGAAGTGGGGCATTATTCTTCACATCTTATTACGTTAAAACAAGTCCTTTTTTTTATTTTTAGTGAGGGCGAGTGACCCACTTCTCATAAAGTGGGTTCGCCCATGATCACATGTTTCACGTTCTTATAGATCCTTTTCAATCTTTTAAGAATATCGAACGAAAAAAAATGGGATAATAATTATTTGAATTTAACGGCTCAAAGAAAATTAAAATACAGTGTATAAGCCTATAAGGGTATCCATGAACATATCTAAGCAAAAGTCATATAAACACATAGTTTTGGAGCACCGAGAAGTCACGATCGAACATAATCGATCGACAAGCAGATTAATTAAAACGACGATAACCGGAAAGAAAATGACATTTTTATAAATTTGATTTGCATCAACTGCAATATCAAATTATGATCGGAATATATGGTGGGCACGTAGTAAAATATAAAACGTAAGTCAAAACCATATGAATAGTATGGCAGTATTGTTGTTGATACAATAACCTAAACGGAAAATGAAATTGAAGATTTTCCTATGGTGATAGTCATTACAATTATTTAATCTAATAAAAAGTTGAATTAATATTCTTTCTATATACATTTTTATTTTCTATGAATTTTGTGAGTCATGGGTTGGTGCCATTGTAAATCATGTTGATTGGTGGGGGCACCATCACCATATCCACCCACAATGTAAAGGTGAATGGTTTTTCATGGGTTAAATATACATACATATATATATATATATATATATATATATATATATATATATATTTATATATTCGACGGTCCAACATAAATAAGATACTCATTTATACTACCAAACCCATTGACATTAGTGAGCTCCCACATCTTATATTCTAACCCTACAATTATAAGCTTTTTGCTCATCATAACCAATATAATTATATAATATTTTCTTTTACTTAAATGAAAAACGCAACGTTTTTTTTTTGTGACTCTTTGTGCTCGCGTAATATGAAATCGTTCTTAAAATAAAAACATTCATTATTTCGTAATCATATGCGTTTTTTTTCAAAATTATCCGCTCATAAGTAATTTTAAATCTTTGAAAATAAGATTTGAATCCAAAGATTTTCGGAAGATAAGTTGAAACGCGAACGATTATTAGAAGAGATTTGGCAGCTAAAAGATATTTTAATATATGGCGAGAAAAAAAAGTAGTTTAATATTACATGTAAAAGTCGGGAAAAAATACATTAAAAAGAAAATGGTTTTCTATTTATATGGGAATATCCTAAAATAATATCTGAACTTCACAATTTTTACAAAATAAAACTTAAATTTTATTTTTTATCAAATAAAACTCCAACTTCATTTTTCAGTAAAAAATAAACCCGAATTTTATAATATTTATCATTATCATTTTTAACTCTATTGTTGACTTGACGTTTCGACATCCTACATGGTAAGTCAATTGACTGTAATTGATACATCATCGTCTACGTGTCACGATATCAAAACGTCACATTAGCAGTAGGGTTAAAAATGATAAAGATGATAAAGTTTGAATTTATTTTTTACTGAAAAATGAAGTTGAGATTTTATTTGATAAAAACAAAGTTTAGGTTTTTTTTTGTGAAAATTGAGAAGTTAGAAGTATTGTTTTGCGATTTTACCTTGTAAAAGTTGCAACACTCGATACCCTTTCTACACAAAATTTTTAAATTCCAATGCTCGAATCCAGCTAAGGTAACCGATGATACAAATTTATATATACGTATATGTATGTATATGTATTTTGCTAATGGTTAGGTTTTCATAATATGAGTTTGACTTTGACTGAGTGTTGCTAGTGATGGGATGTGTTCGAGTGTTCATTATTAGATGTCGGAATTGGAATGCGTTCTCGTCACTACATAATAAATATTGTTCCTCTTATTATTATTATTTTTTTTAATGTCATGAACTCATCTTGATTCCATCACCCGTTATTCTTTTAACGTATGTGCCTTAGTTGTTGAACGGCGATGTTTTTTTATTTATTTTAGTTTTTGGTTTTTAGAATTGGAATGGAAGAAGTTTTTGGGTATTTTTAGAAAAAAAAAATGAGAATCAAGATTTTTTAAATTTAATTTTCTTACAAATTCGGAAAACTTTGGTGAAAAAATCAATTATGAACCACAAACTCTATTTTTATTTATAAATACTAAAATATAAAATAAAAAAACTAAAGACTAAAAACTCAGAATGTAAACTTGTTTTTTTTTTTGGTTGAATGTGATGTATATTGCTAAAAGAATAAGTATATGTCGGTTTTAACCGAATACAAAATATCAGGGAACCCATGATAAATGGAAAAACAAAAATCCCAAACAGGGGAGATGATCAAAACATTACGTCTGGACTACATTAATAGAGTGTGACCCAAGAAAATGCCAAACTTCAAGGAAGGAAGAGGACTGCATGCGACCGACCCGTGGTGAAGCGAGGAGAATGTTTCGAACGTATCTTTCAATCTTTCGACTGAGCAATGCAGGGGTTCTCTCCCTGTTTCAGAATCGACGGTGATTTCGCTCATGTCGTATGGCTTCGATAGTGGTTTGTAGCAACGCCTTGGCGAGGATGCGCCTGCTTTTTGTAGTATCATTTCCAGGATTATTCACCCAACCAATGCATGTTTCGACATCAGCTGGCGGTTGAGGCCATATTCTCGCGGCTAGAGAGCACCAGACCAGGGAGCTATACGTGCAAGTAAAAAACAGATGGCGATGGCTCTGGGCATCGTTTCAGCAAAGGATGCAAGTGTATTCTGTGACTAAACCCCATCGACGTAGCCTGTCCATTGTGGGCAATCTTTGGAGGAAGACTTCCCATTGATCGAATGCCAATCTTGGAACAACAAGGCGAAACCAAATTATACTGTGCCATGCTTTGGCTTCCCTCTCACCCGGATTAGCTCCCAGGTTTTAGTCGATGAGAAGATTTGTCTGAATGTGTCATCTTTGTGTTTCCATAGAGGCACATCCTCACCCATTTCTTCCTTGGGTGGGATAACCGTGGTAAGTTCACTATGGAGTTGCTGAATTTTATCGTTCCTCGCTCCCGGCATGTTCCAATACCCCTCCTTGCAAGCTAAAGTTACGGTTGCATTCCTTTCAATTCGGAGTTGCGATGGGCCATTGTCTCCAATGAACTCGATCAGGGGTCCGAGAGAAGACCATGAATCATGCCAGAAAGATATTGTGCGTCCATTTCCCAATTGTATCTTGATGAATGGACGGACAACCTCTTTAAGCCGTAAAAGCTTCCGTAGATTCCATGAACGCCTCGGGTTGGGTGTTGTGTCCCAAAAGCCCCTTCGCTTCAATGAGTTTCAGAGCAGCCAAGCCACCCATAATGAACGTTTCTTCGCAAAGACCGCCCAAATTTGTTTTAAACGGATCACAAGGTTCACATCGGTGAGTTTCTTCGGCCCGAGCCCTCCCTCTTTTTTCGGCATACATATGTTGTCCCATGCAACCCGTGCATTAGCCGATTCTGACTGACCATTCCCCAGAGGAATTTCGAGCAAATCCCATATATCTTCCTTAAAAGGGGTCTTTATCAGAAATACCCTTAAAATGCTACCTATACTTCATAGCATACCCTCCTAAAAAAAATCTGACTACTTCAAATATACATCTCTAAAAAGTATAATACCCATTTTACCCTTTTTTAATTAATTAAAAAATCATTTAGTTTTCCAAAACGCAGCTTTTGTTTATCTTTCCTGCATATTCCATTCTCTCTCCTCTGAAATTTTTCTCTCTCCGCCAAAATTTATTTTCTCTCTCCTCCGATTTTCTCTCTCCTCTATGTGACCCATGTGACTCATGGGACCCATATGACCGTGTGGTCACAGAGTCACAGGGTCACATGAGTCACATGGGTCACAATGAGTCATATGAGTCACACGGATCACAATCTATGTTCTTTATACGTGTCATTATAAAAAATACTCTCATTTTGATATTTCGACTTCAAGACATACACTTCTCAATCTGTGACCGTGTGACCCATGTGACTAGAAATTTAATCTTGGTTACATTGATCATAATGCTGAATTTATAATATTTTTATCAAATGATTAGTAAGATATACAGGGTATGAACATAATGAATAGGTGTAATCACCATAAATTTAACGTTATGACCAATGTGACCAAGATTAATCTTCTGATCACAGAGTCGCAGTTGAAGAATGGTATCTTTTGAAACCAAAATAGCAAAGTGGGTGTATTTTTTATATAATGTCTCTGATTGACGATCCACGTGATGCAAACCTTATGGTATTACCTCCGATTGTGGAAGATAAACAGAAAATCGGTAGACCCAAACAAAACCGGTTTCCAAGTTCAAGCCCGCGAACAAAGTGATCAAAAAACGACATAAAAATATTGTTATTTGTTAAATAACTTGTTTGTATGATTTTATTTAGTTCTCAAGTATGTTTGTAAAATAACTTTATCAAGTATGAAATACATTTTCCATAAATACGATCTCTTTGCATTATCACGATGTTTAATAAGCCTGATTTCTTTACACTAGTACCATTTTAAACCTTGAAGAGACAGAAACAATTTTGCAATGTGTGACCCATGTGACTCTCATGTGACCCGAAGACATTTTTGCACTATGTGACCCATGTGACCCGTGACTCAATCACACTTAAAAAACACGGTCGATTCTCAGTTTTAATGCTTCAAGATAGTTTATATGGAGTTTTATAATGATAATATGGTGTTTACAAGTTAAATTCATTAATTTAGTTATGAGTTGTTTGAACATTAGTGAAAAATACTCCAAAGTGTTCTCAAAACATTAGTATCACTTATGTAGTACATTTCTATTAGTGATTTGGATTTAAAAATTGAAACAACAATGATTTTAAAATTGTTATTGATGTTAAAATCAAAGATTAATCATTGTATATCCATTCATAGTCACTAATTCGATAAATTCGAATATTGTGACCCATGTGACCCATGTGACCCGACGTTATTTTTTGAAAATATGCGAGACCCACCAGTAAAAAAAAATCATAGAACTGGGGAACATGGGGATCCACCAAGATAACTTGTCAGACCTAATTTTTTCACGTTTCTGCAGTCAATTGACCCCCAAATTTGGATTTCCGCTGAAATATAAAAATAATTTAAATAGATTTTTTTTATTTCCATGAAAAAAATAATTTACATTGTGACACATGTGACCCAAAATCATAAATAAAATTAAATTGAAGAAACTTTTTCTCCAAAATAAAAATAATAAAATTAATTGAAAAAAATTATTATATTCAGAAATATTTATTTCATACATATAAGGGATAAATAACATTTCTCGTCCTCATAAACAAAAAAAACACGATCCTTCTTGTCTTTCACATATGAGAGTGTGTTCAATGATCGAATTTCTCGCGGGCACACCATTGAGAATGAACCATAGATCATTCTTGTCTTTCATCCAAGTTGTGACCCTTGTACCACTCATATAACTTTTTATCAATATACTTCACAACTTTGGAAAATCTGTACAACAAGATATGCACATTAGGCTCAGATCATATGGATCACAGGTCACGTGGGTCACAAGTCATATGGGTCACATGTCACATGTCACAAAGAACACCATACTTGATTTTTAAGTCACAGAGAACTCAATTCTATGTTAATTTCCACTATTTTCCATATTTTTTTGAAGTTGTTTCGCACACTATTGAAGAGAAAATAAGCAAATCAGAGGAGAAATGAAGCAAATCGGAGGAAAGAACGAATAAAATGGAGGAGAGAGAGTATAAGGAGGAGAGAGAGAGCAAAATGGAGAAGAGAAAGAGAACAAAACATAATAGAGAGAGCAAAACGGAGGAGAGAGAGCAAAAACAGAAGAGAGAGAGCGAACAGAAGAGAGGGGACAAATTGAATGAGAGAAAACACAACCTTGGAGGAGAGAGGGAGAAAATCTGAAGAGAGTGTAAGCAAATCGAAGGAGAAATGCAGAAAATCGGAGGAGAGAGAGTGAGCAAAACGGAGGAGAGAGAGAGCAAAACGGAGGGGAGAGAGAGGGACAAAACGGAGGAGAGAGATGAAGCAAAATGGAGGAGAGAGATGGAGCAAAATGGAGGGGAGAAAGAGAGAGCAAAATGGAGGAGAGAGATGAAGCAAAATGGAGGAGAGAGATGGAGCAAAACAGAGGAGAGAGAAAGTACAATTTTGGAGGAGAGAGAATGAAGAAATCGTTTTTTCAATTTTAACACATTTTACTTTTATTTTTTATTTTTAAAATTCTGGGTATTATGGTCTTTTTATTAAAAAAATAGGGTTATGCGTGTCTTTTCTTTGCTGCAATTTTTTTTAAAAAAAAACTAGGGTTTGGAGAGTAGCCATTGAAATAGAGATAGCATTTTAATGGTATTCTTGCTATATCCCCCCTTAAAAGACACTTAGGAAGCATAAAGACGCTACTCCAAGAATTAACCAGTCCATAAATCATGGAGATTATCAGTTATACCTTGTCGGTTGAGGAAAGAAATCTCGCTGTCCAACCTGAAACTTTACTTCGTATCCGGTCAATCAGTGGTTGGAAGTCTCCACTCGTTAGCCACCAAGGACTAAGAGGCACTTCTAGATAGCGCACCGGAAGAGTTCCTTCTTTCATCCCTGTAGCTACAATTAGGTTTCTGCGATTGATACTATCAGCCTCACTGAAAAAATCATACTTATCACGATTAACATGCAACCATGACATTTTTCCAAATTCTTCGATGATACGCATGATCTCTGAAATGGAGACAGGGTCAGCCTCCGTGAAGATCATGACGTCGTCTGCAAAGGCCAAGTGAGTGATCATCGGTTCAATGCATTTCAGGTGGGACTTGATTCGGCTAGCCTTAGCTGATGCATCAAGCATATGGGAGAAAACATCCATGGCTAGAATGAATAGGTACAGAGATAGTGGATCTCCTTGCCTCAATCCCCTTTGGCCTCGGAAGAACCCTGTTAGCTCATCGTTTATTACCACCGAAAATTTTGTGGTGGTAATACAGGAAGCGATCCAATAAACGAATCTCGAGGTGAGACCAATGGCCCTTAGAATCTGAATGGTGAAATCCCAATTTAGAGTATCGAATGCCTTCCGTATGTCAATCTTGAGCATCACAGAACCCGGTTCTATGCTTCTATTGTAATCTCTCACAAGCTCCACAACGAGCAATATATTATCCATGATCAAATGTCCCTCTAGGAAGGCCGCTTGGTTTGGGCCAATGACATATTGTGGGATCGGCTTTAGACGCTTAGCCAGAATGGATGAGATAATCTTCCGTATGTAAACTTGTTATTGATAGGTAGAAATAATATTTTAGTTTTTTGATAGATTTTACATGTAAAAATTATCAAAAAATATTTTTTAAATATTAATATAAAAATTATATTTGTTAATACTAATACTAATACTAGTAATAACAAAAATGTAAAATCTAACGTCGAGAAACTTATACTACAGTTTCATCTCGAATTCCCTGTTCTTTTTTCGTCGTTTTATGATCTGGGAATCGCACAGAATCAGAGGTCCATTTAAGAAACTTGGCCTACCCAATCAGGTCAAGCCTACGAAACATGGCGATTCGCGAATACGCGGTGTGGTGTTTGTTCGTACATTTTCGCGACCAGAAATTCCTAGAAAACCCTACCGGAGATCAGTAACAGTAACCTTTGTCCGAATTCTCCGGCGACATCAGAAGAATTTCTCCGTCTTGAGTGGTGGGTTTCGTGTTTGCAGATGCCTTCCATCACCGACGGCGGCGACGCGCCGCTTCCGGTCATTCTGGAAAAGTCCGACGCCGCGAAGAGACCCATCGATGGAGGTTAAAGCGGTAACTCCATTTTCGGGATTTTGACTTTTTTGTTCGGATTGTTCCGTGGTTGTGTGAGTTTGCTCTGGAAGTTGTCTCCTTTTTTATGTTCGAAACTGATTTCATGAGAAAGCAAGTAAATTTTTGTGCTTAATTGTGTGAATTATGAGATGGGTCGTTGGAGGGTGTTCTTTATAGTTGCTTGAGATTTAGCTGCTGTATTTGTTCTATGTTCATGGCGTCGAGTTGGAACCTGGGTTGTGGCTTGGTAGGTTAGAGTTAGATACGACTATCTGTGTCTGGTCTTTCTTGTTCAAAGATCTTATGCTGTCGGATTTTGAGGGGTGACATTTTTTATGTCTCTGTTCAAGAACGGGATCAAGGGATTCAATTCTAGGTCTCAAAGGGGATAAATCCCGTTGTCAATTGATGAAAAGGCTTTCCTTTTTGGAGGCATTGTTGTGTTTGAAAGATCATAAAAGACGGATCAGCCATTACTGCTTCTAGTTATTTCTCTGTCCACTAACAAGATTTCGATAGTTGCTAGTGTACTGCCGCATTTTTTACGTATAATGCTCGATTTTATATCGTAATTGGCATCATCGATCGTCTACCGGTATTCTTGTATGATGTTTCATCCATAAGCAATGCATGAGAGATACGTTTCGACCCTTGGCAACTTGCTTAGATGTCTCTAGTGTCATGGAACTTCTTCAATGGCAATGTCATAAACTTCTACATTGCCTTTGTACACCTTTTTTTTTCGTCTGACATTCCCCTAACTGTATCCTTTTCTGAGTTAAGTCTCTCCTGTTCCGAAGATTCAGATCCTGGACCATGCCCATGAAATCCACGGTCGGAGAATCCAAGAATCAGCATCTCTGGATCAGCTGGCTTCGCTATTTACAGAATGTGCCATTGCCATTGTAGCCTAACCCCTTCACCATCAACTCTCTTCCCTGGTTCCGACCAAATTCTCACAGGGGATTCTCACGGGACATCTATTCTGGTCCAAACTGGGAGACGCACAGATCTTGCTGGATCCATTTCACAGATGGAAGCAGCTTTAAATGTCCAGGAACATGTAAAACCTGCAAATGGTACATGCACATGAAGGGAAAGTGGAAACCCCATCTAATGCTTTTGAATCTTTTTTTTTGCATTCTGGGGGAAAATCCTCTGTCTTTGTGTATCTTGTTTGTGTATTTTACATGCCTGGTAGTGACAATTTAGCATAAAGAAAGAACAGAACAGACATTGTACGGTCTCGGACATCAGCAAAGTGAGAGTTTTGAAAACTCATTTTATGGTATAAAGATCAGGATCTTACAAATCTTAATGTTTGTAATATGGTAAGAGACTTACACACATTAAAAGAACACTACTGGTTACAAGAAAATAAACGAACAAATGAACTTATGATAGGCAAATATCTGCAGACGTGGATGTGAGAGAGCTTCTTTATGATGTTTTCTTTTTTCAATGTCAAAAAACATATTAACATAACAGAACAGATCAGAACTGACTCCTATCCCATCTGTCTTTCCTGTTAGCCATGGCTGAACCATCTCCAGCTTCCAACACTGGTCATGGCGGTTCTTCCAAACTCTGTAAACACACCCAGAAAAAAAAAAGGCTTCCTACTTCACAAACCCTAATTCCAGTCCAGTCCCTGCACACTTGACCAAACCAGAAAGAGGAAAAATCCTCAGCAAGACAAGACACTGATGCCATTAGTTTCCTTAAAAAGGGTGTTCTTGAGTGTGCTTACCTTGTATGATCTTATCCATATATGTCCGAAATTCTTCGGCAGAAAAGACTGAACGTTAACGAAAATCTCGGCCTCGTGAAAGGAGGTTTGATTACTGAATCTTGTTAGGCAGAGCCTTGGGACGAGGCTTCGCCTTGAGGAGTGTCTCGTCGCTGTGTTTGATCCATTCAGACAGTCTCCATGGCTTCTGCCACTTCCACTTAAACTGAACAATCCACTGGTGATGGCTTCTCTTCCACCTCCATAGCCTCCCGCTCTGTTGCCCGACCGCCGCTAGTTTCCTCATGGACACTTGCCCCGCCGGTACCATCTGTGCCCCGAAATGGCATCAGTGAATTTCATCCTATATCCCTCCTTTTACATTTCGAGAAACACTAACGAAAAAAACGTAAACTTTACCTTCTTGTTCGGATGTAAGAACGAGGCCGACTCCCTCACTTTCCCGTTAGCGATTCCCGGGGTAAATTTCAGCTGTTTCTGTGCTGGCACCGACATTGGAGAAGGCGGTCCGCTCATCTCGTCGGGTAAATGCTTCACTGAACTCGGTGGCGTTCCCTATTCGATAACGTTCATTTCGATGCGTCATCAGCTAAACCCAAAAACGATATAGCTCGATTATATGAATGACCGACGAAATCTTACCAACGGAGACGAAGCTAATGAAGTTGCAACAGCTTGCTCTCGTAACCTCAGTTCTTTCTCGGCTTCTTTCCTCCGTAGTTCACTCTGCCTCAAAAGGCCGACGATTTCTTTGAACTGATCCTTCATCTCCTTGATTTCCAAATCTTTCTCCCAAGATTGGCATCTACAAAAAAAGTAAAAGATTCCGAAACTAATGAAAATTTTCCATTGCTTCATTGTTAAAAACTGTTATGAACAAGTCCTAGTATCCACCTTGCTTCTGCAAGAGAGTTGAACATATACTGAAGCAAATTCTTTGCCTCTCCCATCGATCGTAAATGGGTCCAGCGGCCGCGGTTTATAAAAGCGCGTTCCCGTTCTTCCGCCTCCGAAAGCTGTGAAGCCATCGCAACTAGCGAGTTAGACGATATACAGAGCATGTTTTCGAGCGATGATATTCTCGCCATCCTTGCATTAGGCGACAAAGACGATGCCCTTGAAAGAAAAGCAAACATTACGATGTCAGTTTTCGAGCATTTCCTGGAAAAAAACGGGATAACGTTTCGTTAATATCTCACCGGGCGAATCCGTTCTTTCCTCTAGGAGGGCTTATTCCTTTCACTGCAAACTCGTCCACTTGGCGTAACACGGCCAGCTCTTCAGCCAGAGCTGCTCGTCTGAAATTATTCGACGGATATATAATAATTATTAGACGCGAAAATATTTGAAGGATCTTTCGGGTTAGATGTTCGAAATGTGATTTAGAAGACGTACACTTGGCTTTGCTTTTCGTATTCGTAACGAACTTCGTGCACGTTCACCATGACTTCCAACTCGTGGTCAAGCCAACGCTGCAAGGACTTCTCGTCCGTCGGTCAGCGATAATACAACTTAGTTTAGCCTCGTAACGATAATACAAACATCCCAGATATATGAAAAAAATAGGACTAAGTATCAAATTCTCACCTGACCATTTGTTCCATAGCCATTTGCACCGGCTGCGAAAAGGATATCAACTTTTTTTAAAATCTTAGGAATCATAATATCGAAATCTTAGGAACGAGATTCCGTACGTTCAGTCCCGTAAGTCAAAAAACAGTACCTAAATTCTCGCGTGCAGAAGATTTCCGAGCTTCCAACAGTTCTTTCAATCTCTTGGTAGCCATTGCAGCCTCTTCTGTCTTCCTCTGAAGAACCTGAGAAATACAGAAACTTACCGAATAAGTTCACGGCTTTTTATGATCTTTACCCGAGATTTTCGATTTAGATCTTTTGAAAGTTCTTACCAGTTTCTGGCGCTGATTTAAAGCCTGAAGCTTGTGCCTTTCGTACTCGTTCTTTCTCCCTTCTTTTCGTAACTGCATTGGCAATTTCACTCAATACCATTCGATACAAAGATTTTCGTGTTGAAGAGAATAACGAGTCTACCTGCAAAAGTTCCTTCTCCCGAGAAGCTTTCCACTGCCGAAACTGTTCCGCCTCTTGTTTCATTCTGTGCTGAAGCTGAACCTATAGAGCCGAGGAACGAAAAACATCAAACTAACGTATTATGTTTTGTCTTTATGTCTGAAATAGCCATCTGCACATTTCAAAAACTGCAAGAAGAAGCGATGATTTCCCGGAAAAAACTCCATCCGGGACGAACCTTTTGTGCCTTGATGGATTGGATTTCTTCCTGTAACCTCCGAGCCGCTTCATCGCTCTTCTGTTTCTGCTTCAGTAGCTGAACCTGGTTCTCCTGCTTTTTCTTGAGATCCAAGATCTGTGCTTCGAGGGCTTTTAACTTCTGGGAATGCACGTCTTGCAACTTCTGAGCTTGACCATCGGAATTCGCAGCAAGATTCTCGATTTCTGCCAGCAAACGATCTCTTTCTTCCTGCAAGAACGAGACCCGTAATCAGTTTTTTTCGTAATCTTCCATGCGATGAAAACTGCTTGCTGATGCGAAAGGATTCCCGACCTGAACAGATCTTTTTTCATCCTCCAACTCTGCAATCTTCTTTCCGAAATGTTGCTTGAGTGCCACCGGATCATACCCTCCAAAGAGTTTCATCTCCGACTGTCAAAACAAATGTCGTTAGCTCAGACAAAGAACCGAACTTTACATCCTTTTCCACTAAAGGAACAACCTTTGACGATATTACGGAGTAACGTGTAAGAAGAAAACCTCTTTCTCCTCTAAACGACGGTTCAACTCATGCAACTCCTTGTCCATACTGTTCTGCAAGAGCTTGTGCTCCCACTCCTTTGCCACTTCGTCTATTTCCCTCGAATCACCTTTATATAACAAAAAAAAAGTTCCCGTATTGAAATATATTTGGTAAGTTAAGTATCAAAAAAACTAAAAACAAGTACCTATTGTGGCTTCACCCATGGGATAATCTGGGGATTCTATACTATGCAAGCTCCTTTTCAGCCCGTCGGGTTTTACAAGGGCAACAAGTCCATCCTGCCACAGAAAAAAAAGTAAACAACTTTCACATGAACGAAAGAGATATCTCACAAAAGATTTAGGATAAATAATCCACTCGGTTATATGCATAAAAGACATGACATCGGGTATCCGTTAGAAATATTACAGCTTGCATGTCTTTCTCGGAATGGTCTGCAGAAGGGCATCTGCTTCGGTATTCATGAAGTTCGCGGGAAAGGTCCTCGTTTGCAGCTTCAAGCCAAGCAATCCTTTCTTTGAGAACCTACAAGAAAAAGAAATATGGCAAAAAACCGGAAAGATGTATCGGTTTTCAAAGGTTTTTCCCTTTTTACAAAGTGTAACTACCTGTACTTCGCCACAAGAGGATCCTCCATTTCGCAAAGAGAGCTCCGCCTGTAAAAACTCAAGCTGCTGCCGCATTTTCAGCATTTCACTGGACACCGGGTCTCTGTTAACCTGTTTCAAGAAAATTTAATAAAAAACATATACATAAAAAGATGAACTTGTGGGTAGATGAACTAAAAAAAAAATATACGGGCTCTCGGTAACTTACAACAGGCTTGTTCCGAATGTTTCGAGCACGGTTTGCGTATTTCAGAGTGTTGAGTGTTTCCTCGGCATTTATATCTGCAGGACTTATGCATGCTGAATCCCGCAAAAGAAAAAAAAAACATAACTCAATAACCAACCCGACATGAACAAGCGTAAACAGAATGGAAACAACTTCAAGCAGTATTGTCTACTTACCTATCATGACAGTTCTGCTGTTTCCCCCGAGCGAATCCTAGGATTTAACAAAGAAAAACGGTTCAAAACACGAGCCCGCGATGAAGAAAAGTAATACTGACAAGTTAAAAAGAATATAGTATACCTGCAAAAGCCGGGTAAGTTTGCTGTCTCTATATGGAACATGGACACCTTCCTTACGTTTTTTCTCGTCACCAAGTGCACTGATAACGTTACCGAGGGCGAGGAGGCCTTTGTTTATGTGGACACCTGTCGAAAAGAACCGCCGTTTCGTTATTCCACAAATGATCAGACATGTTTTTACTTGTCCAAAAGCAGACAATGAAACGGAAATACGGACCTTCCTTAAACCGCAAACCATCGGAACCAGTTCTCTTGGCTCGTTCAGAACCAGCAAGGTCTACTAGATGCAACTTCGCACAGAGATATTCTTCGTTCATGCCCTCGTTGCAAGACCCCTTTTCCGGGGAATCTGGATTGAGTTTTCGCATCTGCTCTACGGTGATGGTGAAAATGGCATGGGACCGACTGCAAGTAGACAAAACAAGAAACGGCACAAACATTTTCAGGAGAGCTTAACTGATGTCCTGTTAGGATCCAACACAGATATCTACAAAATCCAAAAGGGTTGTGCAAGAAAAAAGCGACGGAATTTATCAGTCACCTGGACTGATTGTTCATATTTGTGCTACCGGTAGCTCTACAGGCCGACCCTTGTTCCAGACAAGCGGCCATCTCTTTCAGCGTACTGACACTCACTTCTGTAGATCCTGCTAATGTAATAACACCGTTTGACGACTCCCGGATCTGTATCGGCGGCTTGCCAGGAACGGTTGCTACTTTACCTACGTGTCCATTGGCCGCATCTGATTTGTTAACGGCGCAAGGATCCAGCAAATCTCGGACATCTTCCTTATGAATCTTTAACATCGAAACTTCGAGTCAGGACACCAAACCAGCATTTTAGACAAGAGCATACTATAAAAGCAAACTGTTTAAGAACATGCCTCAATAAAAGAAACATGAATCTGGAACTCGGTCTGACGTTTCAGATTCTCCATCTTGCTGAACAGAGCATTCATAACTTGAGGGATTATCCCCATTTGGCTGCCGTCTTTAGAGCCGGTACCCATCGTATACGTTTTACCCGAACCCGTCTGCCAATTTGATAATACAAACTCGATTCAAACATATAGATATATATATACACATATATGGTGGAAAGTATATGTTCTTCTTCTTGTTACCTGTCCATAAGCAAGAACAGTGGCGTTGTACCCCTGGAACAAACCATCAACGAGCGATGCGACACATTCTTCATACATGGCTGCAGAGGCAGAGCCATTGCTCCCATAGACATGATCGAATGTAAAGGAATGTGATCCAAGTTGCACCTGCAAACATTTGGATATCGCCGACAATTACAATTGAATCCATGATCCGACCACTTTTCACATTGCAAAACTGAGACTTGCAAATTGGTTTTTCTTTTTTCTTCTGATTGCCATCTCAAAGAAACAATGAGATTTTAACCATCACCGACAAAATGGTCAAAACATTAGGAAGGACAATGAAACTTTTGATCAGTTCAGTTTAACTAAAACCCATCTGAAATTTTAGACCTTTTTCACCAGAAGACAAGGCCAAGGGCCCGTCTCAAGAATTCACCCAACAACCACCACTAGAGCAAGAACCCTGATCCCTTCACCAGATTAATTTGGGGGAAATTAACCAAAGATTCCACAAAAAATTGTACAGATTTTCCTTCATATAAAAAAATTCTACTTGGTCAAACATGCAAACGAGATTAATTAAAAAGAAAACCCCAACAAGTCACTGATGGAAAAGTTTCAAGATCTAGATCTTGGAGGAGACACTCAACTAAAGCTCTTAACTTTTTACAGCTTTATTTCCATCTGAAGGCTTTCAGATTACAGAGACATAGATTGAAAACCGCAGCTTTGACATTGTCGAAAGCAACAGTACCTGCGGTTTTCCCGGCACGACAGAGACACAATCTTTACAGCCTTGGACCTTCTCGTCGCCGATGAGCGGTCTGATATGGACAGCTACTTTTACACAACAATCCTCCGCCGCCATAGCCGCAGCAGCTTCCATGGCGAGACAAACTCAGACACAGAGACACGGAGACAGGACAAGCCGACACGGAGAGAGAAAGAAAGAACACCGATCTCAAGCAATGTCCGATTGTCTGCGAAATCAGCAAACTTCCAAACAAAAAAAAAAAGCTTTGTATATATATGGGTATTATTGGGTATATATATGTCTTCAATCCCTTGAATCTTCAGCAAAACCCGAGAAAAAAAATCGGTGAGAAAATTTTAGAAACCCAGAAAAAAAAAATGGATGGAGAGTGAAGGAGAAGAGCAGAGTGGTGGGTTTTGCAGACAAATGTATGCGCTCTGTGGTATGAGTTGTGCTGGAACTTCAAGAGAGAGAGAGGGGGGGTGGGGTTTTCTAGAGAGAGAAAAGGGTAGTTATGGAAATAGACAATATTTGGTGCAAAAGTGAGGAGAGCAACTGCAACGACAATAACCACTTTACACTATCATTTTCCTTCGTCTCCACTGCAATCTCCACGACTCCACCTGACTTTTTTTTCACTCTTTACCATTTTGCCCTTCTCCGACTTTCTTTTTTATTTTCTAATTTTTCTTCTTTTTTTTTTATATCCCCAACGGCTCCCACTCTCGTCCTCTCCCTCCCCCATATCATCACTATGCTTCTCCTCTCTTCCTCTGTACGGACAATTTTTGGATTTGTATATTATCATTTATTTTCTTATTCGTAATTTATTTTATTTAAAATTCAGCCAATTCGGAACCTACAATCACAAATATATGATTTACATGATTTTTTCGGATATATAGATTATTTATTGATTAAAATCGCTAATCATGAAAAAAAAAACTCACAAATATATGATATTTAGGGTCTTAGATGTGAGTGATTAAAAAAACTTTTGTTAAATTATAATTGCACGGAGAATAATAATAATAATAATAACAATTTAACAGGTGGAGATAAAAATCAAGGAGAATATGAGAATGAGATGTACTAATGGGAATTCGATTACTTTATGCATGTGCCGTGTAAAAAAGCTATATAGCCCCTCCGTAAAGCATCGCCATTAGTGGTTACACGTATACGTATATGCTGCTATAAACATAGATTTCAACATTTACATACAAAAGGAAATTGTGTGTATATATGTGTGTGTATATAAAATGGAACACGGCCAAAGACACAGGTTGTCTACTCTTGAGCCCGTGACGTGAAGCAGAGGTAAAGACGGAGATGGTGAGACGTCGACCGGAGGAACCGAAAGCGACCGGCCCCAGGAAAAAAAACCGATACACAAAAAAAATACACAAATCCATCGAATCGCAAAAAAAAAAAAATTAAATTAATTATTGGTATTAATCTGTGAAGGGAACCAAAGGTAGACTTTTGGGTGGGGCCCGCGGTGAGGGACAGGGCCAGCTGGAGGACGCACCATCGTCACGTGGTCGGAAAAAGTGGGCCCCACATGGGCCGAGCCGAGAAAAGCCCTCTCTCCGGTCCTCCCTGGGCTCTCTCTCTCTCTCTCTTCTTCCCCCCTCCGCCCTCTTTTATTATTTTGCCCTCAATTGACCTTTTTGTCCTTCCATTATATTTTCATTTTTTTTCTTATATGTATATATATTTATAATATCCGAACGTTGGCAAGTTCTTTTAATCCTTAAAAAAAATATTTTTTTTAATGCATACGGGCGGTGTGTGTATATAGGGGTTTCGCAGCCTGTATATTTTAGTCGTTGCTAACAAACTTTGGACTTGTGGATAGACGTCAATGCATATTTAAGAAGTACAATTACAGTCTTTAATATAAAAAATAGTTGTTCTTTATAAAAATAAAATAAAATATACTATATATAAAGATTACATATTTTATTCATATAATCACAACACTAAAAATACCAGATAAAACTCTAATATATATTTACAACAATATCCTTATGTTATGTTTATTTTTATATAGAATGTCTCCAAAGACTTGACACCATTCTATTGATAAGACTCTTATATTACATTTATTTGTGGAAAACGTTATATATATTTTATAAGTTATATTGTGTAAATGTATGAACTCTCGTATATTCATTAGGTCTGGAATTTGGGTACATATAGAAACAGAGAAAGAGATACAGATGGTAGAGAGAGAGATATGTGCAACTAATAGATACAACAGGATATGGTAGTTTCCTAATATATAGGATTGCAATCGCTAACACGCCCCCTCAAGTCGGAGCACCCTCGGTGATTCCGATCTTGACGCAGAAGTCTTCGAACGTGGATCGTGGTAGCGGTTTGGTTAGAGCATCGGCTAGTTGGTCTTTCGAGCTGACATGTAGGACACGTAATTCTCCGGCTTGAACTTGTCCACGAACGAAGAGATAGTCCAATGCCAAGTGTTTTATACGAGAATGAAAGATCGGATTTGAGCTTAGATATGTGGTGCCAATATTGTCGCAGTAGATTGTTGGTGTTGACGTAAGAAATATGTCGAGCTCCGATAGCAGTGAGACTAACCAGCGGATTTCGGCCGAGGTGTTTGCTATCGACCTGTACTCAGCTTCAGTTGATGAACGTGAATGATCCGATAGTTTCTTTGAGGACCATGAGATTGGGTGTTTGCCGTAATAGACGATGAACGCTCCCGTGGACTTGAGATCGAGTAGATCTCCAGCCCATCGGCGTCGCTAAATGCATGAAGAGAAGGGTTGTTTGTTGCGGAGAGAAATATACCCTTGTGCCGAGTGCCTGATAGATACTGTAGGATCCGTTTCGCTGCAGTCCAATGGGTGACAGTTGGGCAAGCATAAATTGAGACAATTTATTTACCGAATAGCTTATGTCGGGTCTTTTGAGTGTGAGATACTGCAGGCCTCCTATTACTGTCTGAAATTCCAACCCATCAGGAAGAGGTGTGCCATGAGTGAGAGTGATCCTAGTTGACGATGCCATTAGTGTCGACATTGGTTTTGCATCAAGCATTGATGTTCGGTGCAGTGTCTGTTATGTATTTCCTTTGATTGAGGAAAAGACCTCGTGTTATCCTGCTGGCTTCGATGCCTAGGAAGCAACACAGTGTCCCAAGATCTTTGAGAGCAAACCGACGGGCGAGTGTTGAGATGAAGGCATCAATCTCGGCTGCATTGCTTCCTGTCACAAACAAGTCATCGACATAGACAAGAATGTAGAGACATGTTGTTGCTGTCCGAAGAATGAACAAGAAAGCATCTGCCTTCGAATTCTGAAATCCCCGATTAACAAGAAAACCACGGAGCTCGGAATACCAAGCTCTCAGAGCTTGTTTAAGACCATATATGGCTTTGTGGAGTTCGCAAACGTAGGAGGATTGTTCCCTGTCAATAAATCCAGGCGCTTGGCTCATATAGACTTCGTCCGAGAGGCGACCTTGCAAAAAGGCATTATTTACGTCAAGTTGTCTAATGACCCAACCATTGATAACCGCAATACTTAGTACAAGACGTATCGTCGGAGGTTTGACTACGGGGCTGAATGTTTCATTAAATTCAAGGCCCGGTCGTTGATGAAAGCCTTTTGCCACGAGTCTAGCTTTGTAGCGGTCAACCGTGCCATCCGGATTCGTTTTGATTCTAAACACCCATTTGCAGCCGACAACGTTCATATCGGTTGTTGCGGTACTAGTTCCCATGTGTTGTTTCGAATGAGAGCATTGAACTCCTCACTCATTGTGAATCTCCACCGACGATCCTGTAATGCTTGAGTCACCGTCGACGGTTCTCGATTAACATCTGTAACAGAGGCCACAAGCGTGAGTTTATTCATAGGCTTGGAAATATTATTTTTTCCCCGAGTTACCATTCGATGAACATTGCGAGTTGATGCTGGAGGATGTTTGGAAGAGGAATCAGGTTCCGATGCCGACAATGATGCAGACTCTGAGCTGGTGGAAGTCTCCAGCACAGGTTCGGGTGAAGGACTGCGCTTAGGGGCGTCGGCGGTGTTGTTTGAGTTGTCGGTGGTTGATAGGTGAAGGTGGGAGTGACAACTGTAGGTGTTAGACTCAAGAGAGTAATTGTCAGGTGGTGAGGACTGTGCAGGATTTGTAAAAGCTATTGGGTCTTGAAATGGAAACACGTGCTCATGAAAGAGTACATGTCTTGAAACATAAATTATGGACTGATTGAAGTCATAACAGAGGAAGTCGCTTCGAGAGGTCGAGTAACCAAGAAAAATGCATGGTTGGGATTTGGCGGCGAGTTTATGTGGTTGATAGGGTCAGATCCAAGGATAACACAGACATCCAAATGTACGGAGTTTGTTGTAATTCGGTGTCGAGTTAAAAAGAGACTTGAAGGGAGACTCGAACGAGAGGACGGGTGTTGGAAGACGATTGATTAAATATATAGCGGTTGTGAAGGCAAACGACCAGAGAGAAAGAGGAAGGGACGCGTGATGAAGAAGGGAGAGACCGGTTTCTACGACGTGTCTATGTTTTCTTTCGGGAATGCCATTATGCTCGAGTGTATGAGGTGGTGACGAGAGATGGGAGATTCCATTGGTGGCGAGAAAATCTTTTGGAGCGATGAACTCCCCCCATTGTCGAAAGATAAGGATTTTGGTTTCAAACTTTTTTTCGACAAGTGATTTAAAACGAACAAAGGTTTCATAAACTTGTGATTTGAGTTTTAACGGATACAACCATGAATATCGAGTGAAATGGTTGAAAAATATGACATAGTATTTAAAACCGTCCATGGAAACGACGGGTGATGTCCAAATATCGGAAAATAAAAGTTCAAGAGGTTTAGTGAAAATAATGGAAGAATCATTGAACGGTAGTTTGTGACTTTTATTTCTTGAACAAGGATCAAAAAAGAGAAGGTAGAATCCCGAGCTAATGGCAAACCAAAAGAAGACATAACATGCTTAAGAGTCGGAAAGGATGGGTGTCCTACACGCGAATGCCACTCGGACAAAGTGGACTTACGACTCGAAAAAACAATAGGTTTCGATAGAAGTAACTGGTCACTCGTAAACACCGCCATTAGTTTTTCCGTTGAGTATCTCCGCCCCCGTGCTTAGATCCTTCACCTGAAAAGAGTGCGGAAAAAATTCCACCGAGACATCGTTAGTTTGACATAATTGAGACACCGAAACAAGATTTTTCTTCATGGCAGGAACACATAAGACATTATCGAAAGATAATGGACGTGTAGTGTAGGCAAGAGATAAAGAACCGGTGTGGGAGATATTTAAGGCCGAGCCATCTCCAATCAAGACGTCATCTCCTCCACGATATGGGTGATGAAGAGACAAGTTGTGTAAATCCGACGTGATGTGGTGAGAAGCTCCACTGTCTAGCAACCATGGGGATGAATCATACGTCGGCATGGTGGTATGATGTGTTGTTGGTTGCCACGGTTTCGACAACTGTTGCCATGGAGAAACAAGATGTGTTTCTCGGCCAGTGTTGCAGCGGAGATGAGACGAAACAGGGAGCACCGTTGAGCACTGTGCCCAAAAACTCCACACGCTTGACACTTGCCTTGATATCCTCTACCCGAGGACTGT